GGCTCCTGCTTCTTGAATTCTTGGGGACCAATGGGCCCCTGTCACAGTTTATTCTGAGCACATTGTTCACAAACGGCTCAAATGACAGCACAGAGCCACGGCACATAGAAATGGCACTTTCATGGCCAGGCGCGGTGGCTTACGCCTGTAATCCTACCACTTTGGGAGGCCAGGGTGGGCGGATCACGAGGTCCGGAGTTCAAGGCCAGTGTGACCAACATGTTGACACCCGGTCTCTACTGAAAAAAACAAAAAAAATTGCCGGTCGTGGTAGCAGGCGCCTGTAATACCAGCTACTAGGGAGGCTGAGGCAGAAGAAACGCTTGAACCCAGGAAGCAGAGGTTGCAGTGAGTCAAGATCGCGCCACTGCACTCCAGCCTGGGTGACGGAGCGAGACTCCGTCTCAAAAAAAAAAAAAGAAAAGAAATGGCACTTTCATAACGTTACAAATGCTGTTTTTCTTATATGAGTTTCTGATGAATTGGCTTCACAAACTTAGGCGCTAACATCTTTGGAATGGCTGGTCTCCTATCAAAGATAATTTACTACCTTCTTTTAATGTATTTTTTGTCTTCTTGGTCACACCAGGCTCTTTGATTTGGAGTATAACTTGGGCCCTCTTGCAGAGGAGGTCTGGGAGGAGAGGCATAGCTAAGGCTTCCTCTTTAAAATGTGGCGTGAGCATTGCCGCGCGCTTTGCCTCTCTGTCTGCCTTTCTGTTTCCTTTGGCTTCTGGCATTCCTTGCCTTTTGGTGCCCTCTGCAGTGCATTGTAGCTATTTTTTCTGCAGCCTATACAGCCTCTAAGAACCGTAGAATCTCTTCTTTGAACTTTATTTCTTTTCTCTAGCTGTTAGTTAATCCTCTAGCTGTTTCCTCTCTCTGTTAATATGTAGTTCCATGTCCATGCAATGTAGTAAAAGCATACTGAGAATTAGTATAAACTTGACTTTCTTGTCTTTTCTAGCAACAGTGCTCTTGTCAGGGCTATTAATTCTGCGTTTTGAGCTGATGTTCCAGTGGACAGAGGCTGAGCCTCTACTACTGAGTCTAACGTTACCACTGCATACCTGGCACGTGGAACCTGTTCTAGCACCGAACTGCTTCCACCTGTGAAGTACTTGACATCTGGGTCTCTGAGAGGTCTGTCTGTAAGATCTTTCTCACTGGGGAATACCCCATCTACTGTTTTGACACAGTCATGGAGGGGAGCTCCCGGTTTGACTGGGAGCAGAGTAGCCAGGTTTAGGGTGTTTACTGTTCTAAAGTTGTATAAGGGTTTTCACATAGAAGCCCTTGGTACCGAGTCATCCTTGGGTTTGATAACTAATGATGCCTTCTTTGATCCATCACAGTTATGACTGAATGTGGCACCCGGATGCTTAGTTGCCATCCTAAAGTTAATTTGCTATCTTCTTGTGTTAACAAGATGGTGGCAGCTAATGCCTTGAGGCAAAGAGGCCATGTTAACACCACAGAGTCTAGTTGTTTGGATAAATATGCCACTGGGTGATGCCATGATCCTATAAGTTGAGTCGGAGCCCTTATAGCCGTTCTTTTTCATTCATGAACATACAGAAAGAAAAGCTTACTTATGTCTGGTAGTGTTAAGGCTGGGGCCTTAGTTAAAGCTTCCTTGATCTGTTTGAGGGCTATTTCTTGATTAGTTTTTCAAAGGAAGGTCTCCTTTTCTCCTCCTTTTGTGGCTTCATATTAACGATCATATTAGCCATCAGTGGGAACTTTGGAATCCAGATGCGGCAGAATCTTGCTGTCTCTACAAATTCCTGTTTGATGTAGGGTGGTCAGGGCCGGAAGCGGGCGAACGGCTTGCTTCCACTCATAACCAAGCCATGTACCTCGTGGCTCACTATGACACCTAGATATGTAACCTCTTCATGGCAAATTTGGGCTTTACTTTTTGATATTTTGTAACTTACATTCTATAGGGGATGGAGGAGATCCTGGGTTCCCCAATAACAGCTCTCTGAGGTTGGGGCCGGCAAAAGAAGCTCATCTACAGACTGTAGCAAGGCGCAGTTGTTATTTGGTGGGGTATAGGCCATGAGGTCTGAGGCCAATGTCCCTCTAAAGATTGTGGGAGAGAACCAGGCCTGGTGGCTCGCACCGGTCATCCCAACACTTTGGGCGGCCGAGGCGGGTGGATCACGAGGTCAGGAGTCCAAGACCAGACTGGCCAAGATGGAGAAACCCCGTCTCTACTAAAAATACAATAACTGGCCTGGTGCGGTGGCGGGCACCTGCAATCCTAGCTACTCGAGAGGCTGAGGCAGGAGAATTGCTTGAACCCGGGGGCAGAGGTTGCAGTGAGCTGAGATTGCACCACTGCACTTCAGCCTGGGTGACACAGCAAGACTCCATCTCAAAAAAAAAAAAAAAAAAAGATTGTGGGAAAGTGTTTAAACCTTCGTGGGAGTCTGGTCCAGGTGAACTGTGATGCTTCTTTGTCTTATGAAATGCAAACATCAGCTGACTAACTGCTGCCAGACAGATACAAAAGAAAGCATCTTTTAAGTCTAAGACTGTAAACTAGCTCTTGCTGGAATAAGTCCAGTCAAAGTGTACGGATTAGGTACCACTGGATGGATAGTTACCGTGGCCTGGTTTACAACATGCAAATCTTGCACCGGCCTATGTTCATTAGACTGTGGCCCTGGCAATGGCTTCTGAACTGGCAGAAGTGGGGTGTTCTAAGGCGACTGGCATTGGACTAGAATCTTATGTTTATAGAGCCATTCTAAATGTTTGCAGATGCCCTGTATGGACTTTTGAGGAACTGGGTACTGATGAACCTGAACGGGAGTTGCTCCTGGCTTTAATTCTACTACTGGTGCGTGATTTACAGCTAACCCAGGTGGGTTGTCCTCAGCCTATACGCCAGGAATTTCTTTAACTAACTGAAATAATAATTTTTCTTCTTCTTGAGTGTGAGGTTGCATTGGTGCCTGAAAAAGGGGCTGGGTGCAGTGGCTCATTCCTGTAATCCCACCATTTTCAGAGACTGGGGCAAGGGGATTGCTTGAGTCCAGGAGTTCGAGACCAGCCTGGGCGACATAGTGAGACCCCTGTCTCAGCCAAAAATAAATAAACAAATAAATTTAACCAGGCATGATGGTGCACCCTATACTCCCAACTACTCTGGAGGCCGAGGCAGGAGGATCACTTGAGCCTAGGAAGTCCAGGCTGCTGTCAGCCGAGATCATGCCACTGCACTCCAGCCTGGTCAACAGAGCGAGACCCTGTCTCAAAAGAATAAAGGGATGGGCGACTTTGGGTTCAGATGAGTGGGTGAGTTCATTGGATATGATTACCTGTGACATGTTGACTTCTGTGTATATAATCTAATAACTTAAAATTTGTTTAAATTATACGGATGAGATTGAGAATTTTAAAATTCCTATCTATAAGGCATGTACATCCTATAAATCTTGGCATAGAGGTCAGCTTCCACTTGGAATCCCTATTCAGCCAGAGGACAGTGACTTATTCAGTTGTGAATTACTCTATTCCCTTTTTGCAGGGTGGGGTAGGAAGTGGTGCAGTGATGTGAGGGAAAAAAATCCGTTTCTGTTATTACATCATACAATTATGATGTGATAATTACATAATACAATTATGATGTGATAATTACATGATACAATTATGATGTAATAATTACATAATACAATTATGATGTGATGATTACATAATACAATTATGATGTGATAATTACATAATACAATTATGATGTGATGATTACATAATACAATTATGATGTGATAATTACATAATACAGTTATGATGTGATAATTACATAATACAATTATGATGTAATAATTACGCAATTAATTAATATTAAATTAATTAATAATTAATATTTTGGGACAGGGCCTGGCTCTAACGCCCAGGATGGAGTGCAGCGTGATCTCTTCTAACTGCAGCCTCGACCTCCTGGGCTCAAGCGATCTCCTACCTCAGCTTCCTGAGTAGCTGGGACCACAGACATGAGCCACCAAGTCGGGCAAGTTTTCAATGGTTTTTTTTGTAGAAATGGGTTTCACTGTGTTTCCCAGGCTGGTCTCAAAATCCTGAGCTCAAAGGATCTTCCTGCCTTCACCTCCCAAAGCACTGGGATTACAGACCTGAGCCACCGCACCTGGCCTACATAGAACTTTTTACAAGGGACATCAAAACGTGGTGGCTACTGCCAGTAACCCCAGCACTTTGGGAGACAGAGGCGAGTGGATCACCTAAGGTCAGGGGTTCAAGACAAGCCTGGCCAACATGGTGAAACCCGGTCTCTACTAAAAATACAAAAGTTAGCCAGGCGTGGTGGTGTGCACCTGTAGTCACAGTTACTGGGGAGGCTGAGGCACAAGAATTGCTTAAACCTGGGAGGTAGAGGCTGCAATGAGCCGAAATTGTGCTAGTGCACGGCAGCCTGGGTGGCAGAGCAAGTCTCCATCTCACAAAAGCAAACAAGCAAACAAAAAATAAAAAACAAAAGGGACATCAAAAGTGCATTTGTTCTCGTGTAATAGATTTACTTTATTTTCTTTGTTTCCTCTTCATTTCTTTCTTTACTCTTTTTTTTTTTTTTTTTTGGCAGAATCTCGCGCAGTCACCTAGGCTGGAGTGTAGTGGCATGATCTCAGTTCACTGCAAACTCCGCCTCCTGGCTTCAAGCGATTCTTTTGCCTCAACCTCCAGAGTGTGTGGGTCTACAGGCCCGTGCCACCATGACCAGCTAATTTTTGTACTTTTAGCAGAGATGAGGTTTCACCATGTTGGCCAGGCTGGCCTCGAACTCCTGACCTCAGGTGATCTACTCACCTCGGCTCCCCCAAAGTGCTGGGATTACAGACATGAGCGACCACACCCGGCTAAGATAAATCTTAGTTTTCAAAATTTCTCTTTTAATACATAATCATGGGAGAGGAGGCTGCAATGCCAAATGGAGGAGGCAGCAACCGGAGCACACGCGTAGCTGAGTGGGCACCATGACTGGGATCTCCACCATTGAGGCAGTGAAGCGCAAGATCCAGGTTCTGCAGCAGCAGGCAGATGATGCAGAGGAGCGAGCCGAGCGCCTCCAGCGAGAAGCTAAGGGAGAAATGTGGGCCCAGGAACAGGCTGAGGCTGAGGTGGCCTCCTTGAATGGTAGGATCCAGCTTGTTGAAGAGGAGCTGGACTGTGCTGAGGAGCGCCTGGCCACAGCACTGCAAAAGCTGGAAGAAGTGGAAAAAACTGCTGAGGAGAGTGAGAGAGGTATAAAGGTTATTGAAAACTGGACTTTACAAATTGAAGAAAAGATGGAACTCCAGGAAATCCAACTCAAAGAAGCTAAGCACATTGCAGAAGAGGCAGATAGGAAGTATGAAGAGGTGACTCGTAAGTTGGTGATCATTGAAGGAGACATGGAAGGCACAGAAGAACGAGCTGAGCTGGCAGAGTCCCGTTGCTGGGAGATGGATGAGCAGATCAGACTGACACACCAGAACCTGAAGTGTCTTGAGTGCAGCTGAAGAAAAGTACTCTCAAAAAGAAGACAAATGTGAGGAAGAGGTGAAGATTCTTACTGATAATCTCAAGGAGGCAGAGACCCGTGCTGAGCTTGCTAAGAGATCAGTAGCCAAACTCAAAAAGACAATTGATGACTTGGAAGATAAAGTGAAATGCACCAAAGAGGAACACCTCTGTACACAAAGGATGCGGGACCAGACTCTGCTAGACCTGAATGAGATGTAGAATGCCCCAGTCCCCCCTGCTGCTGCTCCTTCCTCTGACCCTGACTCTGCCTGAGGCCAGCCTGCCCGAAGCTGACCTTTACCTGAGGGCTGATCTTTGACTGGAAGGCTACTTTCTCTTTGCACCGCCCCCTCCTCCCCTGCCTCTTTTTCACCAAACTTTCTCTGCCTTTTCCCGGAGATTCTAGCTAGGCTAGAGGCTGAGCACCTTTGGAAACAACATTTAAGGGAATATGAGCATAATGCATAATGTCTGTAAAAAGCATGTTGTGATTAAAAAAAAATACATAATCACTTCTGAAAGATGCCTTTGTCACATCCTATAATCAGCTGACATCATTTTTTTTCTGTACATTCTCCAGTTATTTTCCTGTTGACCCCAGAATTTGTTAGATTTTTTAAAAAACAATTTCAAAATAGTTTCTGTTTGAAACTAGTTGCGTCCGGTTGAGATCGAGGTCTGTATGCTTTCCGGTCTTTATTATTTATTGGAAACCTTTGGTACCTAATACAGAAGGTTGATTGTGTCAGTGTGTACCTGGTAAAGATGTCAGTGACCTTTTACCTTAACATCAAAATGTAGTTTAACCAGTTAGTCTGTTTTTCAGTTTTCTTTCCTTATGTCATCTGTGAACATCTTGAGCTGTGATCTATTAAGTGCATGCTTCCCTCTGGGCCCTCTGGTCCCTTCTGGACTAATGTTGAAAGATGGGATGGATTGGCATGGAACTGTTGGGGTGGCCACACCCAACACCAGGCTGTCAGGGCTACGAAGTCCGGCGGAGTCAAAGGATTGAGAAAAGACAAGTTAAGGATGCATAAGGTGGGTCCAGGGGGCCAATGCTAGTATGGAGGCTGCAAAAGACCTGAGCTCTGGAAGCCCACACTAGTTATTGGTGGTCAAACAAAGAAGCAGGTGGTGCGACTGTGGGGGTTGAAAGGAAGTGGTGCATCCAGCACATGATCTACAGGTGTGTGGTTTAGCATTTATATGGAACATGTTCTGTACTTGAGATCACGGGGAACATGTTCTTCTAGTTTAAGATATAATCATTTTATGAGCCTGGGAGTGGTAGAAGCAAGGAACCAGCAAGTCTGGGCACATTCCAGAGGCCACAAGGGGTTTTATGCCCTGAGCCCTGGATTCCATCCAAGCCATGAGGCATTTTATGCCCTGGGCTTAGATTGTGGTGCAGCAGGGCAACCTTCCACCCTTTGGCACAGAGCTTGGTGTTCCAAGGCCACAAGGGGTTTTAACTCTGGACCCCAGCTCCTGGACCCCAGCATGTTCCAAGACTCTTTTTATATTATATCAGACTAGCAAGCCCTGCCTCAGGTTTTCCCCAAAATGGAATGCTATTCTAAAAGCACCCATGTATATATATGTATTTTTTGAGATGGTGTTTTACTCTTTTTGTTCAGGCTAGAGTGCAATGATGCGATCTAGGCTTACTACAACCTCTGCCGCCTGGGTTCAAGTGATTCTCCTGCCTCAGCCTCCCAAGTACCTGGGATTACAGGCACCCGCCACCACACCTGGCTAAATTTTTGGATTTTTAGTAGAGACGGGGTTTCACAATGTTGGCCAGGCTCGTCTCAAACTCCTGACCTTGGGTGATCCACCTGCCTCTACCTCCCACAGTGCTGAGATGACAGGCATGATCCATTGCACCTGGCCACCCATGTATTCTTGATTGAAAAAATTTGCTTATGTCTTAGTTCTACAGCTGACCTTCTTTTCACCGTTTTCAAGGTCAATAGCTGTGTGTTCACACTTCTGCATTTTATAACTGTAAGTGTGATTTTCTTGTAAGGAAGAATTAAATGTCGGGAATCAATGGCATCAGAACCTTGCAAAAGAAGTTTCTTTAGCCCAGGCATGTGAAAGATGCTTCTCTAATTTTCAAGGATAGGGGTGTTAAAGACCAACCCTTCCCATTAGCCCTTCCAGGCCCCCATGTAAGAATTCAGGCACACCTTCTCACTCATCTCAGACCTTCTCAGGGTAACTTAGTGAAAATTTCTCTTTCTCTGAGCCCCAGTGAGCCTCCCTGCAACTTGGAGATGAAGGGCTAGACCAGAAAAGCTCAATTCGAGTGACCCTGGCTCCTGAAATGATTGGCAAAATAGAGTGTGTGTCTGGGTGTGGCTTTTCTTCTGGGAGAGGGGAGTGACCAGTTGTAATTAGAATTTTAAATGGGATGCAGTACCCTAAAAATGACAAATAAATAAAACGCAAAAGAATGGAAGAAACAGAGGTATAGACTCAAACACAGAGACCATCTTCGGGGCCTTTCTCTGTATGAGGATATCACAGCGAAATCTAAAGCAGTCATGTCAGTCCCTGGCAGGGAACCCTTCTCCGGCTTCCCGTGTTCCCCAGGACAAAAGCCCAATTCCTCACTGTGGCTCCACAGCCCTGTGTCCAGGGCCCCTGCCAGTGTCCAGCCTCCTCCTGGGAGCTTGCCCCCGTCTCCTGAATCCCTCTGCCCCAGTCACATTTGCTTTCTCTTTTCCCAAACATCAAAACCCTTCCTGTCTCAGGTCATTGTCCCTGCTCTTACCCTATGTCCCTAAATGATCACGACACTGTCCCTTTCCTCCTCGTTCAGGTCTAGGCTCAGAGCTGTCTCTCATGCCCTCCCACCCCCATCTGGAGTTCCCTTTGCCCATCAGTCTCTCTCTTTTTTTTTTTTTTTGAGACGGAGTCTGGCTGTGTCACCCAGGCTGAAGTGCAATGGCCAGATCTCAGCTCACTGCAAGCTCTGCCTCCCGGGTTCACGCCATTCTCCTGCCTCAGCCTCCCGAGTAGCTGGGACTACAGGCGCTCGCCACCTCACCCGG